GTGTTGTTTGACCAACACATTAAGTCGTTGTACGCATTGTTTCTGTCTCAGTCTCGCAATCAGTCTGTTTGCAATGTGGACGACATGATCATTGACTACATCCTGGGGTATAAGATTATATGCGGTCGTTCTTGGTCCAAGGTTGACCATGTCATCTTTCCCATGCATTTAGAAATAAATGGGGTGGGTCATTGATTTATGGGACGCTTAGCTATGGATGATATGAAACTTTACATATACAACTCCATTCGCACAGAAGATTGCGATACCCTTGTCATGGAGAATGTGAAGGCCTATGTCGAGATTCTCCCCATTTTCCTTCGTTTGGTGAAGTTTTCGACGAATGGAGTGGCCTGGAACGGCAATATTGAGGTGGTTATGGTTGAGAATCTTCCACAGCAGCACAACAGGTACGATATATGAATTTGTTTGTTGTTATTGTAAAATATAGATATTTTATTTAAGTTTATCCTTATTTTGGTGCTTACGTGTGATATTTGTTTTATATATTTTTATTTAGCACATGGATGTCTTTTTCTACTACCTGAGGAAGATTGGATTTTATGCAAAATCTGCCCCAGTCAGGTATACGACGACTGATGTGTTGTTTGACCAACACATTAAGTCGTTGCACGCCTTGTTTCTGTCTCAGTCTCGTAACAAGTCCGTATGCAACGTCGACGATATGATCCTTGACTACATACTTGGATATAAGATTATATGTGGTGTTTGTTGGTCCAAGGTTGATCACGTCATGTTCCCTATGCATTTGGAACTAAACGGGGTGGGTCATTGGTTTTTGGGACGATTATCTCTTGATGACATGAAACTTCATATTTACAATTCAATTCGCAACTGAAGATTGCGATGAACTTGTTATGGAGAGTGTGAAGGTTTATGTCGAGATTCTACCCATTTTCCTTGGCTTGGTCAATTTTTCGAGGAATAAAGTGCCCTGCAACGGCAATATTGAGGTGGTTTTGGTTGACAATCTCCCACAGCAGCACAACAGGTATCATATAGGCATTTGAAAGTTGATTTTTGCCATTAACATGCTTTACTTTGTAATATCACTATTACTATTATTATTACTATAATCAATATTATTATTATTATTATTAACTTCTTACTATTTATATTTTTTATATTTGTTGACAGTGATTGCGGGGTATTCGTTGCATCGTATGCCGAACATTTCATTTCGGGTCATGAGATCAACAAGGAGAAGTTTGATGTCACTGCTTTTAGGGAGAGATACGCGTATTTGCTCTACACTCATGGCCGTATGAAACAAACTAATGGATACGACAGTGACGACGAATCCTCTGGTAGTGCTCCCGATGAAGTTCGGCTTAGTCATTTGAATGCGGAGAAAACATCGTAGACATTTTTTTTAAGTATTTTTATGATTGTTTTTCTGATGGATGTGATTGAAGTTGGAAAACATTGAACTTACATGATGGATGTTTTTTTCTGATGGATATGATTGAAGTTGGGAAAACATTGAACTTATATTCTGGTAACTTGGAAAACATCTAACTTATATTATGTTATATTTTTCTAGTATATTAGTTGTACTATATGGGTTTTTCTAGTAAATTCTGATGGACAGATTTTTGTTTTTTTTGTTTTTGTTTTTTTTTTTTTCCGTCTATATGTTGGTATGTGTTTATCATATCCTTCAGAATACATATTATTAACAAATGACAGACATATTATTTGCTGTTTAAATAACTGTCATTTATTATATGTGTGGTATACTTTGCCATATGTGTATTATATGTGTATTTTTTCTTTTTTAACGGACAAACATTTGTTTAACTTATATTATGGTATATCTAACTTGTATTGTGTTATATTTATAATATAGTAGTGGTACCTTATGGTATTTTCTTGTATATTCCAGGTATATATTACGTTATATTAAAGTTATTTCGACTATATTTTTGTTTACGTTATATTTCCACTATATTTTTAAAACCTATTTTGACTATATTCCATGTATATTTTTGTTTATTTCAACTATATTTATACGCAAAACATATTTTATGGTATTTTTGTTTTATTTCAACTATATTTTTTGACTATATTCCATGTATATTTTTGTTTATTTCAACTATATTTATACGCAAAATTACACAAGATGCAAACAAAGAAAAATAAATTTCTGAAAAATCAGCGTAATAGATGTTTAAACATCTAATTAAATCATAACATTAGCAATTATTATTATTGTACATGGCAATTATCAATAAAAACCATTAATATTGTACATGGCAGTTATTAGACTATCATCTTTTCAGATTCCTACAAGTTTTCACATTGTGCCCTTTCTCATGACATTTGCTGCATCTATTTTTTGACCTATGCTCCCACCCCGATTTTACCCGCTGCTTGCGTGGTCGCCCTGGCCTAACACTTGCAATGGGGGGATTTACCAATGTTTGGTTAGATGGTGCTTCAAACGTGAATGCTATATTACCTTCAACTGGTATAACAACATCTTCGTAAGTTGAACACATAGTAGAGTTTAGGTAGTACAAGGAACAGAATGGGACCGGATCCATGTGGAGTGACCTTATAACACGTATAGCGTGCGGGCAGGGCAACTCATCAACTTGAAAGCGGTGGCATGTGCAGGACTTAGACTCTATGTCTACTATAAACGCCTTACCGTCAGATATCACTTTATACACTTTCTCACTAGCTTTCTGTACCTGTTACACATATTAGTATATGTAGAGTAATTTTTTTCGGTTTATATCAGGTAATAAGCCATAAAAAAATTAAAAAAAAAATTAAAAACAAACCAAAAAAAAAAAAAAACAATAATACTTACTGAATATCTTGCAGCTATTTTGTAATTAGTTTCCAACATACTATGTGGCTTCTTTGCAAGTGGAGTAAAAGTGCCCTTGGCTTCATCTCGGTTTGCCACATTCCATCTCTGTTGCATGTCCCTAAGCACCTCTAGAAGTGTTGTAATAGGTAGGTCACGAACGTATCGGATGGCAACATTTATTGATTCAGCGGCATTAGATGTCATGGTAAAGTATCTATTATTGGGACAGTGAACTCTTGCCCACTTTTGAAAGCCAATTTTTTCTAGATGTGTTACGACACTCGAATTCAACTTCATTATTTGAGACATATGCATATCGAACTCCTCTGCCGTATATGCCCTTGCTGCTGCATAAAATTCCTCTTTTACGGCTTGTGACTCAGTCTTATAAAGCATCTTCAAATTATTTGAGATGTGATATGTGCAAAGACAATGCGCCGCGTTAGGAAATACCTGTATAAAGAAGAGAGGGTTGTTTATTGTATGTAATGGTTAATATATATTAACAAATGAACAACAAACTCATGGAAAAGTTAAATATTATATATACCAGAATATATAACTAAATATCACTGAAATATACTAAATATCAGAATATTACTGAAAAACTCCTGAAAAAATGACACAGTATATACACCAGAATATACAACTAAATATCACTGAAATATACTGACTATTTGCATAGCACATAAAAAATGAAACAATATATATACCAGAATATATAACTAAATATCACTGAAATATACTATTACCTGTTCTACGGCATGTTTTATGCTTTCATGACCATCCGAAACAATGCATAGACCATCCCTCTCACCAACAACAGCTTGCAATTTTGTGAAAAACCACACGTAGAAGTGGTTGTTTTTTGAGTCAACAATGCTAAATGCAAGCGGTAAAACGTGAGAATTTGCATCTTGACAACATGCTGTTAACAAAAGTCCTCCGTACGCCGAAGTAAAAAATGTCCCATCGACAATAACAATTGGCCGACAATGGGGCCATCCTTTAACAGATGCCCCGAGTGACATGAAGACGTACAAGAAATTCTGATCCAAAGTGGTACTCACCTTAAAAATGCTACCCGGGTTTGCTGCACGTACCTTCAAAAGATATTGATGAACGTAATTGTAAGATTCATCAACTTTGCCACGTACTTCATCAATAGCTTTTTTGACCTCCACGCTTTTTGGTACGTCAAGTTTATCCCATATTGACTTTGCATGTCGTCAATGATATCAAGGGGATTATATGCAGTCTTCGTGTTCGTGAATTTCAACTTGATAAAATCACTAACAACGGTTGAGGTCGCCTGTCTCTGGTTACTTGTTCGAACATCCAATGCACAATTATGTTCACTCCCGACGCCCTTATCTTAAATGTGTTTGATGTACCCAGACGTGATGCTTTCAAAAACCATGAACAATCACTCGATACACACCTATATAAATAAGAAGATTGTTTATTGTATGCAATTCTAAATATATATATATAAACAAATGAACATCAAACTCTGCAACAAATGACACAGTATATATAACAGAATATATAACTAAATATCACTGAAATATACTAAAATATGTATCACTGAAATATATAACTAAATATATAACAGAATATATCACTAAAATATATAACTAAATATCACTGAAATATACTAAAATATATACTAAAATACACCAAAAAACTCCTGAAAAAAATTTTTACCTTATATATATCACTGAACAATTTTGCTAAATATATACCAGAAAATAAAACTAAATATCAGAAAATAAAACTAAATATCACTTAAATAAAACTAAATATCATAAAATAAAACTCCTGAAAAACGACACAGGAAATATACCAGAAAATAAAACTAAATATCACTTAAATATACTAAATATCAAAATACATCAGAAAAAACTTAGTTTTAAATTATATATACCATATATATACTATGTGCAAAATTATATTATTTGTCATACCTCATATATACCATATATATATACCACATGCACATATATATACCATATATCTCTCTTATCTATATAAGAAGAAGTGAGTGGGCTTAATATGCTGACAAGTGTCCACTTATGGGCTCTTTAAATCTCGACACGTGTCCCATTTTATTTACAATGTTGCCACTCAATATGTTAAATGACCCATTTATTAATCTTTTTTTTTTTATTGCTCTGTGGTTGCTTATCGAAAAATCTGCATCTTGCGTACGCTGCCGCTGTCATGACATAAAGCTGATTAGCCAGATTTGATCTCCATTAATCCCGGTTGACCGCGCCGAAAGTGTATTGGTTACATGTTATTGACTCTTATTTTGGGTCGCTTAAGAATTAAGATAAGCCCTCTCTCATTTTCTCTCTGTTCGATCTTTTTTTATTTCGTGTAGGCCAAAGTAGTGGTCGGACTCTCGGTAGTTCGGCGATGGAGCAGCGCTCCAAGATGGTCTGACTTCTTCGCCCCGATATCCGGTGACCATTAGCCCAATTTTAATAACCTAGGGTTCAACAACGTCGAATGGAAGGCTCCGATTCATTATCTCCGGCCATTCTCGGTGGTTCGATGACTGATTTATTATTTTAGTTTCGATTCTAGATTATTGAATTTCATGTGGCCGCATTTTGAATTTGGAACATTTCTTATTTTAGGTATACAAATTGGAGCTCTGTTTTGAAGATTTTTTGTTATAACAATTTCAGGGCGGGTTTTCTTGCGTTAAACGTGCGATGGTTGAGCAAGAAATAGACCAGTGTTTTGTATATGAAGTGGAGATTGGAGAAAAAAAACTCAGAAAACTTATGATGTAAATATGGATTCTAACCCAACTGGAGCTGTTGCTAGCACATCTGACGTACACGAGCTTCCCATGGAAATGAATGAGATGAAAATTAGAGAGGATAAAACTGATGACCATGAGGATACAACTAAGGTCTTTTTTTTCTGTTGATTTTATATTTCAGTTGATTACGGTTAGTGTGCACTCAAGGGAGAATTATCTGGTAAAATATCGTACTGAAATTGTGAGTATGGTCGTGACTTCTATTCGTGGCCGAAATGGACAGAATTATCTGGTAAAATATCGTACTGAAATTGTGAGTATGGTCGTGACTTCTATTCGTGGCCGAAATGGACAGCCAAAATAGGTGATTGTTTTTGGTTGTTCTAATGTTTCTAAACTGTTGATTTACCTTTGATGGGTTTTGTTGTCTTTTTTGTTATTCTGATTATGGATTTAAAAAATGCTTCGAACTCATTGGAGTGTTTATCAAAAAAAATTTCTCTTTACTCCTTTCAAAGAGATTGTAAGCTCTAATTATACGTTAGCTATGTTTATATCTTTAAAGCACCAAAATCTTCTTCTGCTCGAATATTTTTTGGAAACTGTTTATCGTATGTCAAGGCATTATACTCGAGTGAACCAATACATGCACGTTATATATGTGCAGCTTTATACCTACCAGGTATGTATTTTTCTTCTTTTTTTGTTGCGTGTTCTAACATTTTGGGTTGTCTGATATTATTACTTATAACAAACCATTGCTTAATTCATTTTTCTTGTTACTTGAAACTTCAGATATTCCGAGCTTTGAATTATATGCTTAGAGTTATTGGCATTTTTCATCGGGACACTAAACTCTGGAATCTTCTGGTATGGTTGTTGTTTTATTTTGATGAATTAAGCTTTCATTTCCTCTGTTGCATTTGCCATTGTACTTGATTGTTAATTTTCTGAATAATCTAAATATGAATTCGAAAGTATTAGTGTGTTTTTGAAAAAAAGATTAAGGATCTACTTTTTAATTCTCTAGATATGCAATCTTTTCATAATTCTTTCTAAATATTCTAACGTGGGTTCCCCCCAAAATTTCAATAATTGTTATGCTCAAAAGTTTAGGATTGAGCTGTGATATTTGGAAATGCCGATGGACTTACCATCATGGCTAAGTACATTTTTAATTTATCCACCATGTATTAAAGAATAATTTGTTTTCACTATTATTATATTGGTACTCCCTGTTTAAGTAAAAAACAAAAATATTGTAGAATTTCAAGATTGAATTGTTGTTTTATTTCTATTGAATGTTCGAACATTGTGTTCGCATTCACGGTTTTCTCATAAAGATGAGTCTTCTGTGCTGTCAATTTCTTTTGTTCTTTTTTTTTTTTTACAATTTTTCTCAATTTTCTAAATTGAGATGAATGACCAAAAAGAAGATCACAATTTGATTTTAAGAGGCTACTCAAAAAGCAGCCCAAGTGATTGATTGGTATTGACATTCTCATCCGCTCCGCCTATGTATTAATTCGCTTAAGGGATCACCACTCACCATCGATGTATGGACGGTGGTTGCCGATGGACGCAATGGTTCGTTTGCTCCAAGTGTTTTAAAGTTACACTATTAAAAAAATTATTTGATCTTTTAAAAGACAATATATGTTTTGCCTTTTGTTATATATTATTTCTGTGAAAAAAGATTTGAAAAATTAGATTTTTTTTTTTTGTGGCCTATATAGCATGGATGATAAAACAACTTGAGGATTGATGCTTGATCACCAGCTATTATCTCGAGAAGATTAAAAATTTCCAATATCAACTTTAGATATATTTTAATCGTAGTACTTCTTTCATACATTTTATGATAGTAAAATAAAACTTAGAATGTCCTGCCTAATTCGTTGTATAACTTGAAATATGTAGCCTTCATCCATACACATGTATTTACTTCTTTGTGTACTTTTAAATGTATTCATAAAAGCAAGTTTACTTTTTCTTAATTGTCACATGCACTCTTACTGCATCTCATGTACCTTGGTTCCCATTCTTGGTTTTTATGTCAGCAGTGGATATGGTCGCTTCAAATTTAGCCCCCATCAGCGTCAACTTCTTAACACAGGCTGCAAAAGTAATTTTTGCTATTGTGATGCTTATATTTCAGGTATAATTTCCATATCCTGTTAGTACTATATGGAAGTCTGTTTGTTTTTGGATCTTCGTAAGTAATATAGACAAAAAGAGTAAGTAAGGCAGAGGTTCTTTCTTATTCTTAGATTGCTTAAATAAAGTGAGGAAGTCAACCCACACAAATGGGACTATCACTTTTTCTTGTGCTACAGACTGAATACTATCAACTTTAGTTCATTTGATCATGGAACATTTTCTTCTGTAAAACTTCTTCAGGTTGTCAAATTCGTAGGAGGAGATCCCTAATTGAGAGTCTTACTGATTCTATTTTGGAATTGCAATGGGGACAATACACATGTAACCTCTTTGTTCTTTTACCACAAATTTACAATCTCCATGCAGTTATTTGAGACCAGACGCAAGCGCTTTGACTAATAGGTTGGTCCTACATGGTACTTGGAAATTATTTGCTATTGTAACTTCAACATTATTATATCTAAATGCACCAGTAAAACTTACCTGAGAGGATTTTTTGTCATGAATTGGGTCAAGTATTCTACACTTGCATTCTTATATATTTGTTAGAATTTTGAGTACCACTTTGGACTCCATTGCTTTATTATTATTTTTTAGAGATTGACATTTTTTTCCAAGGACAATCCCAAGATTAAGAACTTGGAGCTTTATTTTTCTCTTTGTGGTGGCACTACGACATATACATTTCACTATCAAATACAAGAAAGTGAAAATTTTTCAAAGCCTATAAGCAGTTCTATATATGTTAGCCGGCATAAGAACTTACTGTGGGTACTCTCATATACATCCGTAATCCATATCATATATATGTACCTTGGAATATCCACAGCTGGCTCTTTTCTTGCAGGCTAGACGACGGAAGGTTGGTGAAAAGGCACTTCTCTCATTTCCCACGTTTATTCAGGTGCATGAAATTGTTGATCAGGCATTTGAAATTCTTTTTCTTTTTCATGTCTTCAAGACACTTTGACGTAATGTCACCTTTATTTTAGGAGAAGCGATTTATGATTTTGATGCCTTAAAATTAATTCGATTTTCTTCTGCAGTTGCGGCATTGCCTTCATCTTTATTTTTATGTTTCAGGTTTTCCCTTTTCTATAATTATTTTGTCTTTTAACTATTTTACCCCTTGGTTTCTTTATTCAGCAATGCAAAAAATTACATATTTTGATCCTAAGGGTTTTTTGTTTATTCCGTCAGTGATTGAGGAGATGTCTGACAGTGGCCAGATTCTTCAACCAAAGGGACCAGACATTGCTCAAGCTTTGAACTTGTGTCCGTGGGTAACCCTTTCTGTTGTGGCAAGGAGACTACAAGTACAATTTGTAATCTTCTGAAATTATTAGTGAGTTTTGTTAAGTTTATCAATAATTTTGAGCTTGTTTATTTCATCCACTGGTAACGTGAGCTCACACTCTTAGGGACACATTTAAGTCTTCTCCCCTTCTTGTCCTTTCGAAAATATTTGGCTAAGGTACTGTGCTCTTATGTATAATTCAAACTTTTAGTTAGTTTTAAGGTACGAGTACATATAATTTTTACAGTTTCTTAGTTATGAATGAAAGAGCTAGAATAATTATGAATGCTTTGGTTCTAACTGTTAGACGAAGAATTATTGTCAATATTTGGATTATTTATAATTTATGATGAAGTTAATTGATTTTTAAGAGCAATTATATTTTGATGCCATGAGAGTTTTGAAAATTGTATTCCAGTATGCATCATAACCAGTAATGCATTTTTTTGTTATTAGAATTAGGAATCTCTGAAATTGGAATCACACAAAATACGATCAGATTAAAAATCTAGATGAAAATAGCAATTGAAACTGCTAACAAAGATCGATACCAAGCAATTAATAAAGTTATTGGGATTGATACCGAGCAATTTATTGGTCGTGTGGAGATTTTTTAAGCTTAGTCCCTATTTTAATTTCCAATTAGTTTATACATCTTTTGGTTGAACATACTAATTGACTAATTTTATAGATTTATAGCGTACAAAATTTTTACTTAAATTTCGACTAAATTGGAAGCGGCTACGCGTGCGCAGCCGTAAACCAACTAGTATATCATATATATACCCTGTGCAAACATGAATTGTAACCCAAGGAAAAAAAACAAAAACCAAAATAATTTTACCTTATATATACCATATATATACCCTGTTCAAAATATCACAGAAAAACTCCTGAAAAACGACACAGTATATATACAAGAAATTAAAACTAAATATCTCTTAAATATACTAAACATCATAATACCATTGAAAACGCCTGAAAAAAAAAATGACACTGTAAAAGTTTGCTTAAATGATACACACCTTACATAGTATTGCCGGGAGCAAGACTTCTCCACCTTGAATTGATACTGATGCTTTATAGCATGCATGGTCAACAATTTCTGCAACTCTTTTTTATCCTTTAGCAAACAACCCGCAACAATTCGAGAGTCAAAAATTTTTTCGAATGTCAACCCTATACCACTATCAGGGTTTATGTTAAGCATATTCTCGGTATATGCTGCAACTTGTACCATCTCCTCAGCTACATTACTCGCGAAAGACATGAAATTTATCGAGCCATCTGTGATATCAGGATACCTGTCAAGACCCGGGTAACTCAATGGTGCAACATTTGTCTCGGTATTCATAGAATTCGTACTCACTTCATTCTGTGACGAATTTTCAGCAATACTATGAGCCTTCACCTCCAAGCATATCGGATACTTCGTGTAGTCAGCTTCTGTAGACCTCAAGAAAAAATAGAAGCTCATGCTTTTGTCGTCTTTTATGGACATTGGCGGGCAACCCTCCTTCAGTTTATATTTCAGTTCGATGACAGATGATTGGGACATCACCCCGAACTCACCACACAATATACCACATAATTCTTCGAAGCTGCAATTTTTTCGTACCAAAACACCTGTAAGTCGAAAATTCACGTAATCATTCATGATCAATTCACCACCATGATGTATGAAAATCATCATGCTCGAATCCATCTACAAAGAAAAAAAAATACATATATTCCATTAATTGTTCTTGCAAAAAAAACGTTAAAATCATAAAATATACGTTAAAAAAATATATATATTCCATGCATGGTAAATATGCAGGGCAAACACCAAAACACACCTCGATTATGTGCAGCGATTTTGGACGAAAATTCCGCTCGATCCACTCTCAGTATATGTGCAGCGATTTTGGATGAGAAATCCGATCGATCGTCTCTCAATATATGTGCAGCGATTTTTAACGTATATGTGCAGCGATTTTAACGATTTTTATTGCCCACTGTTACAAGTTGATTTTGGATCGTGATTCGACAACTGTGCAGCTATTTTAGCGTATATGTGCAGCGAGTTTTGGATCGTGAGTTCGTAAAAATTACGAGAAATACGGTGGACAGTTTTTGGTATTTTCTGTTTCTTTTTTTCGGTTTCAATCGCGTGATTCACGCTATAAGCTATGGAAGGGAGTATGTTATGTTGGGTAACTTACTTTTAGGCATTCACGTAAATATTGTTGGTCTATCAAGTATCTTTCAAATTATTTGTTTGTTACTGATAAATTTGAAATTAAGTTGATTTCACGTAGGATGATTAAAAATTTCCCAAAATTATAGAATATAATTTATCCTAAACTTAATACAAGGCCCAACTTAGCAAACCTTCGAAGCCCACAACTCTCGTATGCCGAATACGGCTCTTTTTCTTCTTGCTCTTCGAGCCCAATTCTTGTTCATAGCACAATTTTCCCGAATAATTTCTACATTCTGTCGAGTTTCAGTCTAAAAATCTTTTTCTCTGTAGATTTTCAGAGCCACTGATCTCTTCTTTGTCAGCCCGCTTGAGTTCCCTTTCTCTCATTTGTTTGGTGCTTTCTAGATTTTGATTTTCTGAGCCAGAAGAACAATCGAACATGGATCCTGATTCAGTGAAATCGACTCTTTCTAACTTGGCTTTTGGGAATGTGTTGGCTGCCGCAGCTCGCGACTATCAAAAGGTCAGATGTTTGTTCATATATTGTCGGTTTTCCCCAATTTTTGTGTTTTCATATGAGATGAGAAGTGGATTTGGATGCATTTTTTGTGGTGTTCTATGAAATCATTTACGTGAGCCTTTTTTTTTTCTTTTTCTTTAAATCCATATTTGAGTTTGTAATGTGTCAAGCCGCTCACATTCTATTGAACGATGAGATGAAATGATATAAGTTCATGTAAGCTGAGGATTGCAATTTCATCATGTTGCGGTGCATGTTTTGATTTGTCTTTATATGATGTTTGAAATTTATCCAGAAATTCTTTATTGCGTGGCCTGGACGACAAAATTTGTTTGATGGAAACTGTAGTTCGAGTGTGAGCTTTTTAGCTTCTTAATTAAGTATTTTTCTGAAAAAAAACAATAGCATAAAGAATCACTTATTAATTATTATACACTGCTTTTGGATCTGAACTGCCATGACTTTGATAGGAAATGCTGGCTAATGAGAAAGCGCAAGCATCAAGCTCTGTTAACCAGGAAGTCGATCTGGATGAATTGATGGATGTAAGCGGAAGATGCATCACTAATCTTTTTCAATATCTGCTAACGCCTCACAGTTTTTTTTTTTTAATTGTTATTATCTTCATTTTTCACATGAGTCCTTTGGTCCAGGACCCCGAACTGGAAAAATTGCATGCTGACAGGATTGCATCCCTTAAGGTTTGTAATTGAGATCTCAAATTAAATGAAGATGCTTTCCTTGAGATGTTTTATTTATTGATTTTTGGTGCAGAAAGAAGCAGAAAAGCGACAGAAATTGAAGATGCAAGGCCATGGGGAGTACAGGGAGATTACAGAAGCAGACTTTTTAAGTGAAGTTACAGGCAGTGAAAATGTGATTTGTCATTTCTACCACCGAGAGTTCTACCGTTGCAAGTAAGAACGTATATCGTCTTATTGTCTCACAGTTGAAATGTTTGTGGGTAGTGGAGCTATGGAGTGTAAATTTGATATTTGAATAGACGGTTATCAGATGTGTAATATAAAAGAATGTGTAAGGCCTCCTTTGTTTTAGAAAATGTTTACAGTTGCTCCTTTTCTCTGAAGTACGTTTGTATGAAATCCCTCTTATGCTTCTAAAGAGCTAACATGCATGCAATACTTAAATAATTTTGTTGGTGCCTTTTCTATAGGATTATGGATAAACATTTGAAGTCCCTTGCTCCCAGACATTTTGGTACCAAATTCGTCAAACTGGATGCTGAGGTCTGTGTTTAAGCTGCAACTGTTTATCTCTGAGATGATTGTAAATTTTAATGCAACTAAGATCTTATTTTCATTTTTATGCAGAATGCTCCTTTCTTTGTTGCTAAGCTTGCAGTCAAAACATTGCCATGTGTCATACTCTTCAGGTTCTTCATTTCATTATTTATTAATTCTTCCACATATGAATCTTATGAATCACAAGTACTGTTATTGTGTTGATTTTTCTTGTCTTTCTAGTTTCTCGTTACTATCCGTTTTTAAAATCACGAGTACTGTTATTGTGTTGATTTTTCTTGTCTTTCTAGTTTCTCGATATTATCCGTTTTTGTTCTTAGCATGAAATGGTACAGAAAAACATATTGATGCTATATGTCATTTTTCCTTGTGCACTGTGTTCCATGAATTCCTCTGTAATCCTAAATTTATATATTATAATTAGTGGCAGAGTTAGGATAAAAGAGCTGCAAATTACGTCCTCGAGAGGAGAGTATATCAGTATATAACTATATTTGGTAAATATAAGCCTCCAGCCCGTGTCTATAACACTTTATGGGGATAATTTAAAGGATAACGGAAGTGTTTTTCCAAATAGGGATCTCACGGGTAGTTTTATAGTTATCCCCTGTAATATGCTAAGCGAGCATCTTATTTTGTATAATCTTGAAACTGTATTCCCTAATTATCCAGGAAAGGAGTAGCAACGGATAGGGTGGTTGGGTTTCAAGACTTGGGAGGGAAAGATGATTTCTCAACAAGGACACTTGAGATTCTCTTCGTAAAGAAAGGTAATGTTAAAGTTTTAATTTGCTTTCTCCCAGGACCTCCACTAACCTCATTACAGACTTGCAGTTTCTAAAGTTAGTCGTCATTCTTTTCAGGAATAATTGAGGAGAACAAAAGAGAGGAAGAGGATGATGATTACCTTGAAGGTCAGCATAGGACAGTGAGATCATCTGTGAATCAAGATTCCGATTCTGACTGAATTAAGGCGTCAAACACATTTGCTTCTGTTTCAACTCAAATCCATGGTACTCGCATGTTTTTTTCAAGCATGCTCGCAGGGTGAAATTTGAAAGTAAGTCACAGTTTTGATGTGTATTATAAAGTTATGGCATGGGGGTTGTAGCTTTTTCGGCCTTAGCAAGTGAAACTTTTTAGATTATCGCAAATGAATATCACTTGGATATAAAGCAGTTATTCTACTATGTGAAAATCGTCCCGTCACTTGTTGAGTTCAAGCAAATTACTTGAAACAAGTGAATGGTATGAAGGTGAAGGGGGCTACACCAAACCTTGTACGGCTTTTGAAACTCATTCAATCTTTCTTGTTTATTTTGATCGTGGTGTCTCATTCATCAACTTGATAATAGAAAGCAGCATCACTCTATCTTTAAAGCAAAGTTCGATGTCAATTTTGCACTTATTTTTAATTGCTTGAGGTAATGAGATATTGAGATGGGAAAGTAGCTGATCCAGAAAATGAACGAGATGAAAAAATGAATTGAAGAAAAGAGGACGATGATGCTTCGACCAAATTACAGATTGGTAGAAAAAAAATTGAGAATAAACATATGTTTTGGTATGAGTTTCAGAGCATGGCAATGCAACAACGTCTACGTCAAATCATGAAAACAGACTCGTAGAAAAAAATTGTGACTAGATAGATATAGATTTTTATGAGTTTATGAACAGTTTTGACAGCATAAAAGCGAGTGTGATATATATATTAAAAAATTTGTGGCTGCTGGGATTCGAGCCCAGGTCTCCACGGCCACAACGTGGAATTCTCACCACTAAACTACAGCCACTTATTAATCAGATAATTATACGTAATATAGTTTATTTAAATTCATAAAAATTGACAGGAGTGACGCAACACCATATAAAGCAAATAGGATATGGTAATGCCACAGGGATCTACTAAATAATTTCAGTTTCAGTAACCAGTTTTCTTGGGATCTCTTAATCGTACTTGACCTTCTTGTTTGAGTATTTAAAAAAATGTGGGGAGAGTTACCGACGTAGAGTCTTTGACGATCAAGTCGGTGTATGATGATGAACATGACTTAATAATATAACCATGCCTCCACTTTTATAAGAGGGTAGTTACTTTGTTCCCCTATATCTTTTTTCTCTTAGAGTGAGTATGGTTGCTGTAATGTCCCGTTTATTTGTGGATTATTTGAGATATATTATTATTATTATTATTATTATTGTTATTTCTGTGATAATATTTATATTTATTTTTCTTGAATGCCATAATATTTAATAATTGTCAAGTGTGATTAAATGCTAAATGTGTAATTGTTTAATTGAATTTTTGTGATTATTAATGTGTAATTAAAAATATGAGAATATAAATATATATATTGTTCGGATTATTTTATCGCGTGTTTGCGTTCGAAATCGAGCCCGAGGATTTTCGTTGGAACCGAAATTGGGCCCGAAAAATGTCCGATTAAATTTTTAATCGAGCCCGTGAGCCGATTTAATGTCCCAACCGGCCCAAAAATCCATTTGACCCAACTTCTCGGGCCCGGCCCGACAGATTTTCTCCTCTTTTTTTCTTTCACGCGTGAGTTGTGTTATCTTGAAGAGAAATATTCCTAACCCTAATCTATTATTTGTCTAACTCTCACGCTCGGTAGAAGGAACCTAAGCCCGCAGTCACTTCCTTCCTCGTCAAAATTCGATCGCGTACAGAGAAGACAAATCCCTCGTTTTTTTTTTCTGTTCATCCTCTTCGCTTCGTCTGTCGCGAAATCCCGTCACTATCCCTCTTTCCCCTTGTGATCCGATCACCCATCATCATCAACACCATCGCGTCGCCGCCAGCTCTCCTCCGACGAGCGCCTGTAACTCCTTTGCGAGCCCCCATCGCTGCTGCTCTGTTCGCGCAGGCCCTCCCTCCGGCGAGTCCTCCACGACCGGCGCCTGCAAGCCCTCCATCGCTGCAGCCCTCTGCTTGCAAGCCGACGAGACTTCCCCTCCGGCGACCCTGCTGCCCCTCTGCCGACGACCAACGAGGCCCTACGGCCGCGTCAAGCCTGCTCCTCTTCCGCGAGCCAGCCGTTGAGCCCGTGCCGCCGCTTTGTGCCGCCGCGAGCTGCTCCTCGTCTCAAGCATCGAGCGCCGCAGCAACCGAGCAGTCGAGAATAGCCGCTGCTGCACCTTCTTTCCCGGCGAGACGCGAGAATCCGTCGAGCCCTTCATCCCCGTTCGTCTTTTTCGTTTCCGTTTTCCGAGTTTTCCCGAGAACGGTACCTAGTCGATCCCGTCTCGTTTAAATCGTTTATATGTTAATTGCTTATCGTGTTTTAAATGACGTGATGTGCCCTTGCGATTTGATTTACGAGATGTGAATATGTTGCGATTAATGGGTTCGACATGAATTTATGTGAAAGAGATGATTTTATGTGTAATCGTATATATGTTCGGGATCTCTTCGATTATGAGAAATCGAACGAGGCCTCGAAACTCGTGTAAGTCAGTGGATATTGGAACAAAGTCGAGTCCTTGGCCTTATGGGAAGGCCTCGGACGAGAAATTTCGTGTTATGAATTAATTGTTAAATTGTCGAGCATATATGTCGCTGTTTTGGTGTTTGAATTTTTAAAAATAGCTCGCTGCTTGAAACGATGTGAAATTTTGAGGGATGTGTTATCTGTTCATTTCCTGCCTTGTGTAAAATTTTCATAATTTTTCGAGACCTGTAGCTATTTTTAATAATTAATTTGTATTCTGTCCAGAATATTGTTAAATGCATAATAAATTCATGCTTGACTGAAATGAGCTGAAATTCGAATATGTCGTGCCTCTGTGACTTATATGTGTTGTGTTAAATTTTTGGAATTTTTGGAGTTGATTTGATATGGATAATATTTTATTTATTGATTCGGCAGAAATGTTGTTTGAATTTTTAAAAATCGGTTACTGCATGAAAAATTCTGAAATTTTGCTGAGAGTCATATTTTAGGTGTTTGATCATGTTTGTAAAATATGGGAATTTTTAGTGTCTGTTTTGATTCAGTTTGAATTTAAATTCGATAAACTGCTGTTGCTCGTTTGAATTTTTAAAAATAGCAGCAGTTATCATTTAAAGCTGGAATTTTTATAAGTGAGCTTTGACATACTGAATGTTGTTGTGTAAAATTTTCAGGTTCAGATTCATTCATTAAGTCTGAGTATGGATTAATGTGCCCTTTTTGCTGAATTACTGTTCGAATTTTATAAAATAGGATATTTCGAGTTTAAAGCTGAAACTTTGTGATTTTACATGTTTCTGGGAGATGAAATTTTGGGTAAATTTTCAGAGCTTAATTCGTAGGGTAGCTTGACCATCTATTTTCATGCGATTAAATGATTTCTATTTCCGAACATGATTTTTATGAAAGTTGGGAATCGACTTGCTTTTCGTTTTGATGTGAGTTTGACTTGGTCAATCCTTAGATGGATTTATGTGAACTCCCATATGTGGTTTGGTCGAGTTTAGTGCCGAGTCTTAGTGTTCCAACATCCACAGGACTTCACGAACTACTTAGTCGAAACAAGTTCGACTAGGTCTGTTTTGTGTTTTCCGATTTAGTCACGATATTGATTGTAGGATCTTGACATAATGTAGGTGTTTGAGGAGTCAGGCCTCAACCTACGACTATTCTGAATTACTGTCATCAGTCCAAATCCAGGTGGGTTGTTATTCAAAAATTATCTATGCATATGTTTGATTTTAATCATGTTGCAAATTTGGTGTGATCTATGTATGAAAATGAACATGTAGCCTATCGATGTGAGCTGTTACGGCCGTCGGTACGGTTGTCCCCGTCGAGTTACGGTACGGTGCCCTTGTGTGGCAATCTCCTTTAAGTCCTGATATGGCCGTGCCCTTGTGAGGTACGTAAGCCCATATGGAAGGCCGTGTCCGTTACAGTGGCACGTACTCCCGCCTTCGGGTAATGAATCCCCGTTCTGCGGCTAGCGATAGATGTGCACATGAGTAAGGTTAAATGGTGTGATTTTGATTAGGAGATGAGACATGTTGTGATCATTGTTTATGTTCATGCTGCGACCATACCATTGTTATGTTATTCATATGCATAGTGTGAGTACGATATTTAACTGTACTCACTCCCACCTGCTCTTCACGGATGCAGGTTAAGCAGCTGGCGGGTGACGAGACGAGATGACGAGTGGTGGTTATATTATTTATTATTGCTTTATTAACCTTGCTTCCGCTTAGTTCATGAACTCATTTATAATTTGGATATTGTGGTTATGTCATTTCGGAACATGGAATTATGAATTATCTTTTATGAATTGGAACCTAATGAATGCTAGATTGGTTTATGGTTTATTATTCGTGCATGCTGCCTTTATTTGCTGTGTTAGCATTTTTGGATAAAAGCTTTTGGTAGGTTGAGTAGCGCCCACTGAGTTTTTAATTACATTAATGTTTGTAAAATAAAAATTTATTGTGGTTTCTATTAAATAAATTCGATAAATCTTTCAAAATAAAGTGGGGCGTTACAGTTTGGTATCAGAGCTAGTCTGCGTTTCTGTAGACTGGTTTATAAGTGATTATGTGTTTAGATTTTGAATTATGATCACTCGTCTTCGTCACGCCGTGCTGCTTAAGGTATGTGTTCATATAAGTATCGAGAAATACTTATAATGTGAAGATGTGAAATTTTATATTTTTACATTGGCAGTATTGAAACTGCTTCTGTTATGACTTATTGACTTTTGGGGCTTAGGAAATCTATCCACCTTTGGTTTAATGTGAACTCTAGTGTTATAGAGTTAAGTTCGGACTCTAGAGGTTCCTCGCTATGAGGTTCAGTATGTTGTTATCGAGATGAGTTATGCTCATAGCAGTTTCCTTTGCTATATAATTATATTCAATGGTCAATGAGAACCGAGAATGTATTTGCCCTCTTCGGACCTTTGCCAGGTTTCGAAAATTATGAGATGAGTCGATGTTTTATAGGTTGTCAGTATCATGGAGGTTCATAACCTCTGTTCAACCTCTGGTGTGTTATGTGTTTGGTATCTCTTGTGTCTTAGTAAGGGTGAGTTCATGCTAGCTCGAAGCATGGTTAGTCGGGTAAGAGATAAGGATTATGTGATTTATTGATTCCCCTTTATGTGATATGATGAGATAAGTGTATTAGGTTGAGAGTCTCGTTTATATCATGATTGGTTTGGTCAGGTTCATTTGATATATATGTGATCTTCGATGATTGAGGTTGAATTTATGTATTAATGTGAATTGTTATATATTATCAAACCAAAAGATGTAATAATTTAAGTGAAAGGCATAAGACTTTATTTTCTATCTTGTTTAATAAGACCGAGTTGGACCTCGGACAACGTGTTTGATGATACTGATGTGTAAATCTTAAAG